GAAAGTCTCCTCCGAGACCACAGATTAACCGCGATCTCGGCCTTCCCTTGTACCTCCGACCAGTTCATTTCCAACTGGAGATCAGGACCGAACCAGACGCCGAGTATCTTGATCGGCCCATCCGTGCAGAGGAAAGGTCCGGGAAGAGAAACTCCCTTCCACGCACCCAACCGCAAGCCCACAGACTTATCGCGGTTGATCTTGGCCCCTGTCACCATCTCATACCCACTGATCTCTTTGCTGACTTCGTCAATCTCGGCTCTGCTCGACACAAGAGCCGAAACGTCGTCAGCATAGGCAGAATACCTGGCTGAGGTGGTAGCCCCAGGCAGGGTAATTCCGCGCAGGACTGGATTCGCCTTTAACTTGCGAAGGAATGGTTCCAACGCAAGAACGTAAAGCAGAGGCGAGAGCGGACAACCTTGACGAATGGAGCGAGACAATACGAAAGGCTTCGATCTTACCCCATTCACTTCCACCAGCGCACCGGGGGTCGCATACAAAATTCGGATCCAGGAGCGAAAGTCGGCTCCGAAACCGGCCGCCGAAAGGACAGCCTTCAGAAACCGATGGTCAACCCTATCGAAGGCCTTGGACTGATCTAAATAGATCAGCGCGGCTTCACTGTCGACTTATTCTAAGATCAAGCGTACCATATGAAGGTTATCCTGAATAGTCCTGCCCTTCACAGCACAAGTCTGTTCGGGGCCAATCAGACGAGACAGGACAAGCTGCAAACGGTTGGCTAAGATCTTCGCCAAAATCTTTAAGTCAGTATTTAACATCGTTAAAGGGCGAAAGTTCCCTAACCCATCCTCACCGTTCTTGTCCTTACGCAGCAAGTTGATCACACCCCTGGTAAAGCGTTGAGGTAAAGATACCTGCTTCATCCAGTGGTTGAAAATCAGTTCCAGCAAAGGAACAAAAACGGGCGACAGCCTCAAGTACACTTCGTAGGGAAGACCATCTAGTCCAGGAGACTTATCCAGGCCAACCTGCTTCAGCGCTTCCCAGATTTCCGACTCTGTAATGGGACCCTCGCACCTAGCCGCTTCAGCTGCCTCAAGGCAGGGAAAGTCAGCCAAATAGGCGTCGAACTGAGCAGAGCTCAGACCGGGCTCCCTGGTGAAAAGATCCTGAAAGTAATCCCGAAAGGCCTCGCATATGCCCGCGTTTGTAGTCACGGTCCGCTTATCCGGCAATGTGACGCACGCTATATGTCGCCCAGCCGCGTTCCGATTTTCCTCTGCGCGCAATTCAGCGGCCATGTTCGTCGCCTCAGAAGACATTCTTTTTTAGCCTAGCCCTAACTACCAGAGCTTGATCCTTCTTGATAAGCAAGGAGGACAACTCTGCCTTACCTATGGCTATATCCCCACTAACACGGGATTCCACGGCCCGATCAACCTTTTCTTCTAAAACCGTTTGCGCCGCTAATTTATCTAGATTGAGTCGACGACTAAAATCGGCAGCAAACGTTCTAATTTTTGATTTTAATTTGCCCCACCAGGCGTTTCCCACAACCGCCCCCGTCAATTCCCTCTGTATCATTAGTAGCAGCTGGTCCCGGAAATCCTGCTCACCAAATAATGAACAGTTAAATTTCCAGTAACCAGCCATTCTAACCTTGGGCTCATCTAAGTTTACACGGACCCGGACCAGCCTATGATCCGTATAAACTATATAGTGGAAACTGGACACCCTAAGAGCCCTACATCGACTCTCCTAACTAACACTCGGTCCAGGTAGCTCGCAAGCGTGCCAGGAGCCGAGTTGCCACTATTTGTCCAAGTCCATGCTACCTCCTGAGGGTGCTCATTCCGGTACTTATCGACAAGATCAAACCTGCCGATAAAGTCCCGAAATGCCTTCACATCAGGATTGTTAGTACCCGGTTTATGCCCTATACGATCTATATCGGGGTCAAGGACGGCATTCCAATCCCCCGCTAAGACTACCCGACGAGAAGTCGTCAAAAACTGCTCGATCTGCCGAAACAAAGCAGGCCGCTCAGCATGGCTATTGGGCGCATAAACCCCAATGAGACGTAAATCCTTATCCTTTATAGTAACATCTAGCACACAAGGCCTGCCCGCCGGATCTGCGAAGACAAGGGTACATGCAGCCTTCAAAAACTTGCTCACTAGCCAAGAGACACCCCTCGAACGACCATCAAAACATGCTGAATAAAGGGCGAACCCCTTAGACAGTATATACTCACGGTCATGAGAAGAAAACCGGGTCTCTTGCACACAACAAACATTCACCCCGAGGCCCTGCGAGACTCGGACCTCAGGCCCCGCACATTTAAAGTAGCCAATCAGAGAGCCATCGAGAAGTCCGATTAGGGTTGTTTACCTGAATTAAACATGTCCGGGGTAAGGATTTGACACTCACCGACACACTGAGCGACTCCCTCTACTCCTACTTATTATAGGTGGGAGAGTCTATTAACAATAGAATAGGTGTGTTCCACTATAATAAAAATACTAAAAAATTTAAAAGAAAATGATTAAATCCATAACCTCATGTTATTTACAATATATAACTCATGAATTAATCCCAAAATAAAATAACTTAAATACTAATTTGCATAGAAAAATAATTCAAAACCATCACTTTCTGACTTTCATTTATCAAACATTGTCTCTGCATGTTCTTCAGAAGTGGCCTGACTTTTCTGATAAGCTGATGAATATTTATAAGCGTTCCTATACCTAAAAATTCTTAAAAGCCAATAACATTTTTGACCTTGTATATAAATAATTGTCACAAAATAAAATCCTCGCATTTGCTTTGATAAAGGTCCTCAGAAGACGAAATGTTTCGGCTAAGATATGTTTTCTTTTTGTTTTTATTCATTTTGTCCTTTTGCATTTTGACTCTATCTGAATTATTTACAGATTTATATACGCTGGGTGTAACAGCAAAATTCTTCATTTCTTATATTAAGATTTGAACTGTTGCACCTTTAAAATGATTAAAGATATCTTACTGGGATTCTCCGAGTATTTTTACCACTATGGGACTCTACGATAAGCAATAAGAATGTATAAGTACTCTCCAAGCTTAACGAAAAAAGCGTGATGAAATCGATCATGAATGAAAGTTACGATGTTCATCATTAATTAATCATAGCTAAGGTTGGGAAGCTCATGCAGGGTTGAAATTAAGTTCGAATATATATATATATATATATATATATATATATATATATATATATATATTCCAGGATCATTTTTTATTGCTCTTTGGACTGTCATAGTGGAAACTCTTCACGTGAAAAACGTCTTATGGATTGTATTGGATCTTTTCTAATTGATCTCTTTAGCTCTAAGTTGAAATGATGATCCCTCTTCCAGTCTTAACCTTCTGATCCAGTTTTCCTCACCACTGTTTTTTTTTAAATTATTCACTGTTTTCTTGGTTCTTGATTTGAGCCAGAATATGAATGTTGGGGCCATCACTGAAGGTCTGAATGATTGTACTGACTACTGTATATGTTATATTTAGATAATTCCTCTGTTTGAATAGATGTTTCTGCTTTTTTAAACAGTATAATTGTTGTCTACCGTTTTGATAGTGTTTAATAAAAAGTATATGATTTCATTATTAAATACTCTAGAAAACCCAGGCTGGTAGACAACAATTATATTTAAAAACAGTGATGTCTATTGAAACATGTTTAAAGTAATAAAAAATAATGTAGGATTATAAAAAACTATTAATTCATTAGAAATATATAACGATAAAAAGCGGAAAAGATCGTAAATTCGGTTGAAGCTTTTGCTAGTTACCTCTTTAAAATATCATATATATATATATATATATATATATATATATATATATATATATATATAAAGAAATATAGTCTTAAGGTGTGCTATATTTATGGGATAAAGTGCTCAATATCAGAGATAGAGCGTGTGTAAATATAAAATGAACATAGAAGTCAACACTTAGAGGCGACAGTCTGTTTCATGCTATATGCAATCGTCAGGCCACATATGATGTTATTTTTCTCGGCTATTTATATATATACGGGTTGGTGGTGCATTGTGGGTATTCTATTATGGCGGTTATTTTTACCGGATGTCGCTTTGTTTATTTATTTGGGTCAAATTATATTGCTCGTTTTTATTTTTTTGTTTCTTATTTTATTTATTTATTTATTAACGTAGTAAAAATTTGTTTATATCACTTATTTAACAGTTTTGTTTTGGTTTGAGAATTTAATTAAAGCTATTTGTTCAATTTTGGGGTTGATTGTTGTAGTTCATTCTAACTATTATTTTTTTTGGCGGGAACAGTTTTTATTTGGGATTGGTTTGTCTACTTATTTACTTGGATGAATTTAGGTCAATTTATTTGTATATTTTCTCTTTTCGGTTTTTAAGCAACATAGTATTTATTTATTTAACTGTTAAATAAGTGATATAAACAAATTTTTACTTGATATGTATGATTTAATGAAGCATATATTAATCAAGAACTGATGCCGAATTGCACATGCACACATATACACACGCATTCACTTATATCTACACAAACGCTCACTGAAATCTGAATGCATATATATTTGTACACATTTATCTGTGTCCGTAAATGTGCATACATATGCACGTATCTACTCATTTGTGCTGTCTGTATTACATTGGCATTTGGTCATTCAGCCATCAGCCAATTCTTGCAGCATACGGGCCCGAACAGCGTCATGGGAACGCGTCTGTATCATAATAAGCGAGCACTGATGGCTGGCCTTGATGATCAATTGTAGCTATTGTCATAATCACATTTTAGAATTATCAGCATGTCGGCCGTTCATTTTGGGCGGCATTAGGTCAAGCGTAAATCGAAGCATCAGAAATGATTCGCAAACTAAGCCACATTATCACGCTTGGTAAACATGGCGGAGTTGGCTGCCGGTACCAGAACAATTTTTCTGAGTAGTGTTTACCAGCGAAATGGAGGTTTTTCGTTATTTCCAAGTATAAACAACTTTAGGAAAAGAAAGAAAGAAAGAAAGAAAGAAAGAAAGAAAGAAAGTACGGGAAAGGAAAGAAGAAAGGAAAATAATAAAAATATAAACGGGAGAACAAAAGAAAGGAAAAAAGAAGAAGAAAATTGAAGAATGAAAAGAATAGAAAAAAGAAAAAAAAGTAAAAGAAAAGAGACTTCAGAAAAAGAAAGGAAAGGAAAAAGCAAAAAGAATAGATGATAAACAGGAGAACAAAGAAAAGAAAAAAATAATAAAAGCAAAATGAAAGAAAAAAAACGAATGAATTAAAAAGGAAGGCAGGAACTGAAGAAAAGAAAACGGAAGACGAGAAAAGAAGACAGGACTGAAAGAAGAAAGAAGAAATAAAGAAAGAATAAATTGATAGAAAGTAAATAGAGATAATGAAAAGAATATGTATAGAAAGGAAAAATAAATAACAAATAAAATATAGATAAATATTTATAATATCAATATAAAATAGTGTAAAATTAAAAACGAAGAATAATCTTAAAAAAAATTAATAATTAAAACAAGAGTGAAATAGAATAAACTGCGAAAAAGATATTTCTTTAATACATACATTGTTGCGTTTTCAAAGGTCAATTAATATTTATCAGCGTATTCTTCTGACAATGTGTTTGTTAAGAAGGACCCTTTAAGTAAAAAAGAATGTTTGTCTGCGATTTCAAATATATATATATATATATATATATATATATATATATATATATATATATATATATATAAAATTTTAATGTATATTTTCTCTACTCTTGATTAAATTTGCGATCAAATCCTCACTCTCTCTCTCTCTCTCTTGATATTGAGTTCTGTAATTGTAAAGATCACTTGCCTTAAAAACTTTATTTACCAGAAATACGAATTAAATATGATACACTTATATTTAAATCCGAAATTTGACGTTCCCAAAAATTGAAATGATAGGACTATCAGTTATTTTCTAAAATACAGACAACACATCTGATAATAAGAACAGTAGAGAGGGGAACATTTGACCGAAATAGAATAAAAACAAACGTTGGATAGATTATCCACCATATTTATCCGGATATGCAACAACGTATTCGAAAATTAGAAAAATACAATTTCTCCTTACTATTATGAGAATCACTTCTAAAGTGAACTGATGGACCGCATGCATCGAATATATATATATATATATATATATATATATATATATAAGATTATTGGTAATCCGCATGAAATTTCCAAGATGATGTAAATCTGCTGAGAGCTCTATATCAAAAGACAGTGAAAAAGTATTGTATAATGGCAAACAAACGCTTAAAAAACCACAGCTGATATTTTATTTATTGAAGTTGATAAAAAGCAGCTTCAAATTTTCAAGTCTATAAACCAAATGAAAATGGAAACATTTACTCTAGGTTTAAAAATTAAGAATAGTGATTTCAAATTGCGAGAGTGGGGAAAAGAAAGATGTTAAGTTATTATCCTGTATGAAGTGGGGGAACGGAGATGGTGTTTTGTCTCAGTTGTATTAACACCCGTGGTGACATACTTTATCATCCAGATTGTAGACATAAATCGTTACATAAAATGGCAATTGAGAATACATTTGGGAAAAGATTGAAAATACATTTAGAAAAAGATGTTAAGTGTAAAATCAAAATTCTATCTGGATCCTTCTTCGGTTAAGATTTTGACACATATATATTAAAATACCTGTTATAATTTATATTAAAAATACTGGTTGGTTAAGAACATCCCTATATATATTCAGAACCTATCTAAAGATTTCAATTTAAAAGTAAAAGTGATATATTAAAATATATATATATATATATATATATATATATATATATATATATATATATATATATATATATATATATATATAATCTTAAGATATGCTATATTTATGAGATAAGGTGCTCAATATCAGAGATAGAGCGTGTGTAAATATAAAAGTGAACATAGATGTCAACGCTTAGGGCGAACGTCTGTTTCATGCTAGATGCAATCGTCAGGTCTGACGATTGCATATAGCATAAAAACAGACTGTCGTCTCTAAGTGTTGACTTATGTTCACTTTCATATATATATATATATATATATATATATATATTGTGTGTGTTGTCTAATATATAATTATCCATGAATTTCTCTATAAATAATAAAACACTAAGATATACAGAAGAAAATGTATATAAAAATCTATTTATGTAAAGAAAAAATAAATATATTATATAAAGTATATAAAATAAGCAACAGTCCAAAAATTTTATAATTTAAATAAACTTATTAAAGTTTAACGGGATACGAAGAGATTTTAAAAATTAAGTAAAGTTAATAAGGTGAAAAGGTTAAAGTTAATAAGGTGAAAAGGTTAAAGTTAATAAGGTTAAAAGTTCACAGATTTACATACTCTGTATTCGCAATATTTACATTGATTTAATGACCGTCACAATAGAAAATAACAGATTTCTAAAACTGCAAAGAAATAATAAATACATAATCCACATGGTTATGATCAATACAAAATATGAGCACTATAAATATGTATCTCCATATCTACACATACTCACATATACAATAAATACTCAATATACACATCCATAACATCTATAGCTCACCCAATTATATAGTTATATATATAAATCTATCAAGTAACACAATAACCCGTAACACAATAACTCGTATAAAAGTGGTATATCTAACATATATATAAAAATGCATATATTCACATGTATACACATATATACATAGAATGCCATAATACGTATACATTACACATTAAAAACAATCTCGTAGACATACATATTCTACATCTAAATACATCCATCTATACACACACATAAACACACACACACACATATATATATATATATATATATATATATATATATATTTATTCATGAACAAAATAATTTCATATATGTCTTAATTCCAGTTATAATTCAATATGTAAATACATTATTACAAAGAGACTGGCACACAGAACCACACTCCATAACACGCATATACACATATATACACACGCATATACATCCTCATATACATATTTATAGGAAACTTCCCAATATACATAGCCATATACATATATATATATATATATATATATATATATATATATATATATATATATATATATATAAAACACATATACATGTACTTATACATATACGCATACACATAAGCACACTTAAAACAAGATCTACAATGGAATATCTGCTGGAAGTTGGAAACAACGCCTCTATAATTACTCTTTACCAAATCCAGAAGAAATTTTTGCCAAGTTGAATGGAGGTAATTTTTTCTCAATTGAACCTGTTAGATGCTTACCTACAAGTACTAGTGGACGAAGACTACTCAGAATTATTAGCAATTAATCCACATAGATCGTTATACAAATTCAACCTACTTACTTTCGGTATAAAAGTAGCACGAAGCATATTCCAACAGAAAATGAATACTACTCTTGTCGGTTTGGATTGTGCTCAAGCATATTTGGATGACGTATTTATTAAAAGTAAGACCCGAAAGCAACATGCAGAAGATGTACAAAATGTATTTGAGAGAATCAAAGACTATGGTTTTAAAATCAGTGAAGGAAAATGCGAATTGTTTATGTCCAGACTTAAATATCTAGGAGAAATTATTGATGAAAACGGTTAACGACCTGATCCTTCAAGGCTGAGCGCAATAAAGGACATGACCGCTCCAACAAATGTAACAATGTTACAAACATTTTTATGGTTTTCTCATTATATCATATATACATACCACACACGCACGAATTAAGTGCACCCTTGAATAAACTGCAGAAGAATGATGATAAATTGGAAAGAGATCAAGAAATTCTTAACACCGGATTTGTCACAAGCTCATTTTGACTCTAAATTAAAGAATTAGATTGAATCAAATTCAAGTGATTCGGGTATTGGAGCAGTGATACGACAAAGATATGATGACAGAACAACTAAACCAATAGCTTATGCTTCAAGGTCATTAATTGCAGCTGAAGAAAGCTATAGCGAGATTGAAAGGAAACATTGGCAATTATATTTGCTATGAAAAAGGTTCACAAATTCATGCATGGTAGAGAATTCGTCCTACATCGTCCATTATTGTCAATATATGGATAAAAAAAAAGGTTGTTCCCACACATACAGTGAATAGACTGCAGCACTGGGGAATTATCTTATAGAACTATAATTATAAAATTCAGTTTCTACCATCCAAAAATTAAGTCGTGTAAACGGATTTTGTAAACTTGAACCACTTGAAGACACAGTAATTGCGGCGATAAAAGCCGAAAATGAAATTAATAATGTTTTATACAATACTGTAAGAGAACTGCCCATAACATTGGAGGAAATAAAAAAAGGCGGGAAAAGAGGACTTTATAATGAAAATGAAGAAGAAATTAAGATTTAAAGGAAAAGATATCACTAGTAATAATGCATTTTCATTATGTAATAATGTACTTATGGACGTAGAAAGAATTGTGATGCTAGCATCGTTGCAAAAACGTATGCGAAAGAATTTCACACAGGACATTCAGGAATTTCTAAAATGAAATCCTTAATGAGATGTTATACTTATTGGCCAAAAATGGATCAAGATATCGGAAATTTAGTTAAATCATGCAGAGGTTGTTCTCTGGCAGCGTAGTCACCGCCTATCAAAATTCAACCTTGGCCCAAAACCGATACGCCATGGTCCTGAATACATACAGACTTCGCAGGATAGTTAAACGGAACATACTATCTAGTAGTAGTCAACAGTTACACTAAATGACCAGAAATATTAAAATGAAGAAGACAGACTACTGCAGTAACGATAAATTTCCTATACGAGATTTTTGCAAGGGTCGGTGTTCCTGAGTCTATCGTTTCAGATAACGAGACTCACTTCATGTCTAGTGAATTTAAGTTTTTTTGCAAATCGTTAGCAATAGAACATATTACAACTCCTCCTTATCTCCAAGATCAAACGGACAAGCGGAACGTTTAAAATATCGATACGTTTAAAAGGGCATTAAATAAAGTCGGAGGGAGAGGAGTCAGATGAAGTATTGCTACAACAATTTCTGAGTGTTTACAGAATAGCCCCAAACCCGAACACTGAGTCTGGAATGTCGCCTGCAGTGTTGATGTTGGCCAGGAAGATTAAGTCCGTTTTCAATAAGTTATTACCAGAACGTAAGGCGAAAGCATCAAGAAATAACAATACAAGTAGATATTTCAAACCTAGATAACGTATTTTTTTTAAGATGTATCAGCGTGGAAAGGAATTCTGAAAGATGGTGTTATAAAAAAACGGATCGGCAAAATGACATATATGGTACACGGACAAAGGTGGGAACATAAGCGACACCTTAATCGGTTAAAACGTTGATTCACTGATTTACAAAATTCCCAATGGAAATTCTGAATGACACATTTGACGTACCAACGCGATCAGAAATTAGTGAACCAAAGGTTTATGGTAAAAGAAAAAAATGCCAACAGAATTACTAACT